TAAATAATTCGTCTGTATATACGAAGAGACGCGGGATTAAAACGTGAAGGTATTGCTCGCACGAACCGTTCCTCTCCCGTCTCTCTTTCTTCTCTTTTACAAGCTAAAATCCTCCGTAAAAAATACAAAGTGGAATTTTGTAATTTAAAACTGCGGTGATAAAAACAACCGAGACTTTCAGATAAAAAACACAGAATAAATTATTTCTCCCAGTCGTCTTTCAAATAACGTTCCATCTATTGATTTTTCATTAAAAATGTTCCTCAGAATTGGAAGGAAATAAATAAACTAAAATCGACAGTGAGAACAGAAATAAAATTTGAATACCAGTTTTAATTATTGGTTTTTAATTAAATATATTCTTCAGAATTGAAGAGAAATTTCTCCCAGTCCTCTTTCAAATAACGTTTCACCTACTGACTTTTAATTAAATATGTCCCTCACAAATGAAAGGAAATAAATAAACTAAAATCGACAGTGAGAATAGAAATAAAATTTGAATACCAGTTTTAATTATTGGCTTTTAATTAAAAATACTCTTCAGAAGTGAAGGGAAATATATAAACTAAACTGGGACGATAAAATTGATCGATAACACGTGTATAAACTGAACTGATTGAAATACGGTTTGTTGTTTCTGAGAATAGTCTCTGTGGACCGACTTAAAACATCAAAAGAAAATCCATTAGACCAACTGTGAGCTTGGCTAAACCACGAGTTCTCTCTCTATGAAAGATTCACCTATAAAACTGAATTACACTCGCGAATCTGTTGAAGTATATTTAAAAAAGCTCTGACAACTTTTATTTTCAAATTCCATGTCTCAAATAATTCATAAAGTGCATCGGAGTTGAGAAGCTTTCAGAAAATTTTGATCAGGCCATTTCCAGTATAAATCATTTATTAATTTCCTAATAGCTGAAATATTTTTTCTACTCTTGATACATCAGACGTGAAAGTGTACATTTTAATACAACAAAAAAAACATACATATAAGGAGAGACTAAAGAATGATGCATAAAGCAAAAATTGATAAAACAAAAATGCATGAGAACGTGAGAAACGACGAAGGAAAAACTGTGAAGGGACAGTCGGGCATGGATGACATTAAACAAAATAAAAACAAGCTGTGGGCACCCTATTTATTATCGGTATAATTCATACACGCAATAAAAGTGAAAAACGTTCGAGAAAGCAAAATATCAAACTTTTATATCGTTCATATAATTGTCGCATAGACGTTGAAATAATTAGTGAATCTGAAATGTCTAAATTCCTCCGTGCCGTTTCGTTCACCTGCAGCACTCGATTCTCTATTAAATTATGTATCGCAGTCAGCGATTTTCAAGTACTTGTGCATGTTAACAAGCTATGGTAACGAGCCGAGTTAAGTACCGCTAGAAACTTTAAACAAACATTGACACGTTTAATGGTGTGTGAAATTCAATCTTGACAACCGAGTTCAAAGTTCGCTACTTAATCGGTTCTGTCGATCCATCGAGATCGCTATTGTAATCAAAATTTTCATTACGTCTCGATGATAACGGAATACTTAAAATTAAATCGAATCACACAGCATGAAACATGTCGAAGGACATCAATGGACGGGACTCGTGATTGCACAACGGCGGTCAAAAAAGACTGCGAACAGTCCTGAAAAGAGCTTTCAAGCTATCTCCGATTCAACTTTCAAGAGTAAAATAATATAAAAAGGAAGATCGATCTGTTTCAATCCGGAGAATCGATTCTCAGGAAATCCGCTGGGAAAGGATCGTCTCGAAGACACGCGGGCAACCGGAAACAGAAGCTGATTATCCTATCCCCGAAAAACGGGTTGAGCAAGCACAGTTCATTTCTTAGTATAAAGTTTAACGAACACGCTGCTGTCCACGCGTTCCATTTAATAAAACAAGCTTATTTAATAATTACGTGAAATATAAAATTTTAAGTCGATAAAATCTTATCAAAAATTCGTTTATAAGTAAAAATATTGATCGAGTTTATGGACAGTAGTGTGTACCGAAATCAGTGCTGTCCTAATTTTCATATAAAAAATACAAAAATAACATTTTAGGCATTCCAGTAAATGTCCCAACATCTGTTCACGTCTCAATTTCTACTCACTGACTTCAATAGAAATGTGATAAGAATAGAAACTGAGACATTTACTACATAAGACACTAGAAAAACTGTAATTTTATCAAATTTATTTAATAGATAAGAATTATCTATATTAATTCTCAAAAATTCCTTAAGTAAAAGTCTTTTGCACTAGTTATATTATTCGACTTACAAACTGAACTGACCAATTCTCGTACGTCTAAAAAATTTGATATAAAAATCTTAATAATTAAAAAACGGGAATCAACGACTGGACAGCACTGATGAAACCTGTTCTAAACGAGATAGGCTGTTAGAAACTCTCGGATTTGACGAGGTTGTGCTGATGCTTCAATCCCTCGATCAAATCCATGTGATGAGGCGGCTCGATCACGTTCACTTTACGCTCCCTAAAATACTCGCGCCTCTGTTTATGGCTGTCCATGATCGAGCACACGGCGGCCTCGTTATCGTCCCTATCATCGGTGGTCGGTTCGATCCGATCATCTTGATCGCTCACCTGGACAATACTGTCTGGGATGGGCAACGGCTTCGCCACGCCGATGCGCACGGTGCCTTTCGGGGCGCCCTTCAACGCCTGCACCGCCTGGTCCAGGGTAGCGTTCTCCAGGCCGATGTCGTTCACGAACAGCAGACGGTCGCCCGGTATGAGCTGACCGTCGACCTGAGCCACGCCACCGGGCACCAGCGATCTTATTACTATCACAGTCTGGTTGGGGTTCATTGGATCCTGGAACAGGACATTTCATTCTCGTGGTATCACCTACCGATTAGATCCTACTACAAATCAGTAGCCCTTCTTCTTAAATAACCTGATAAACAGGCGATGGACAAAATGGACAGGCTTGGTTCACAGAATAGTTCGACACAATATTAAAAAAAATATCATCATAATTAAAAAGTGATCGAATACTTTTGCGAGCCACTGTATACATCAGTGATCCTTTAAATCGGTCGGTACCTGATAATCCAAAATGGAGAACCCAAGGCCCCGTTCTCCCTTTACCAGTTCGATGACTTGCGGCTCGGAGCTCCACATCGCCAGGCCTGTCAACGGTTCCAACGAGCGGGACTTCATTTTGTTCAAGCTGGCGTCCGTCACCGTCGCGGTGGCCGTCGTGGACGCTAACGAGCCGTCAGACTTCGCTTTCACCAGACGGTCCATCGTCGGCAACAGATTCTGCAGCGATCCACCGAGGATACTCTATAAAACGGGATTCGCCTGGTTACGCTCCAATCGTCGATGCGAGTGTATAGATGGGATTCAAGGAATATCGTATTTCTTACTCTGGTCTGGAACGCGGCCTGGTGTTGAGCGGTGTTGATGGGACACAGTGGATCCTGCGAGTCGGCGCCCCTTCCGCAAACCATCCGAACGTGTACGGGTAATTCTTTTAACACGCTAACTACTTCCATGTGGTTGATACCGAGCAATCGATATCCGTTCACCTACGCACAAACAAATATTTCATGTTTATTAACAATTACGATTGTTATAATTAAATTATAAGTCATGTAGTAACTACGATTTTTAGTTCACTTCGTTACACTTAATAATCATTGGCATAATCTCATTGAATAATGACCAGAACAAAAGACGTTAAGAATTGACCGTCATGAAAGTCACGTAACTATCCAACCTCTATGATATAATTACACGAATGTTATAACAAACAGGATAAGATTGCGCTTGTTAAAGCGTCCGACTATAATTGGAGTAACGAAGTGAAATTTCAAGTTGGTAACAAGTCACGGCTCGACAGGGGGTATTATCGCTCCACGTTAATTACAGTTAAGAGCGCGGAGCGAGGAATTTCTCGAAGTTGTACGGCGAAGTGTTACGTTACCTCGAGCAATTCGTCACCGGAACGTAGCGTCCCGTTTTGGCCGACGGGTCCCTCCGGGAGGATCGATCGTATGTAATGATGCGGTCTTACTTCTTGCCCGTTCTCCACGTCCACCGTACCCTCCAAGCTTATGCCCAGCCCGCTGCCTTCCGCGAATTTCTTCAGCTGCGCTACCTGTTCCAACCACGCACACCCACATTTCTTTTAATATTTTAAATTCAATAA